CTTTTTGACTCTTTCCATTAACTAATTCATCCTCATTAAGCATGTTTTACACGTCTGCAACTAATTTCATTTTGATTAGAACATGGTTGACTGAGCCTAAAGGCTATGTCAGTGTAATGGGTGTGGTAATTATGTTACGAGCATGTATTGATATGTTTGTTTATGACACAAAGGAGTATTTCGTACCATATTCAGTTTCCAAAAAATTGTTTTTTTCGAATACTCACACAAACAAAAAGTTTGCAACCCTTTCTCTTTGTCATGAAAAACGAACTTTTGGTAAATCATTCTTCTATTGTTAATGACATGTTTTGTAGGTTCAATTATTTAAGTGTTTTCCATTTTTTGGGAAAAAAGGAAAAATGCGTGTTTGTTTTTGTATTTATAAACATGGGTTTTTTGTTCAATTGTTTATTTTTGTAATGGAAAAAAATTATAAGTGACACTTGAGTAAACGGACAAATAATACCGACACTTAATGACATTACAATTACTCAGTGCTCGTTAGATGATCATTGCTGATAAGCTTTATTTGGAAAAAAAATACATACATACATATATTTAGCTAATTAAGGTTAAAATATACAAATTACAAAGAAAAGTGTCCGGTTGCATTCATTATTAAAATTATAATTTTGGTGGGAATGGAAACGATACTGTTCTAAAAACGGGTAACTGCAGACCATGATGAATGTACAAGTACCACGAAGGGAACTCACCAATAGCAAGTACAGGACGAATCGTTCCTACGACAATGGGATCTGCGCTCCTGAACTACCCGATTTGCAATCGGCCAGAGATTGTCAAGTCATTAACAGCTGTATCAACCAGATGTTATTTCTTAGGGGAAAGACATCTAACAGCCAAACTGTTACAATAACAACAGAAAGAATCCTGCGGGATTCTCACTACCGTAGTACCAAGATAGGTGTACTGATCAAACCGAAAATCAGATTATAGAATTCTATAATCAGTGTTCCTGAGCGATGTTTTATTTATTATAGCACCTCTTCTAAAATTTTGTATCCGTTCGTCCAATTTTATGTAGTTCTACCCTTAATCCTGTGTTTCCAGTCAGAATACGTATCATTACACTAAAGTCGGACTTATTCATTCTGCCGTATGGGATTCTTCCGCTTGTAACTCCTCTCATATAGCATCGAACGGTTTTGCATTCACGAGCTTAACTTCAAGTTCTTTCTACCAACTCCAAATTATCCGCTGGTATGTTACAGAACAATGGGGTCATAGATTAAACCTTCTCAACTGATATCGCCATAATTGCCTTTTGGTTTTCGCTTTTGGTGCTATATTTAATCAAATCCATTTATCAAATTCCTTTATACACACACAGACATCAACCTGGAACATTGAGTTGTGATAAGGTAGAGGGTTATATATTTCGGTTTCTGGGTTTTCAAGAATGATCTCCAGTCCCGTTTTGTCTTTAATCTTCTATCAATATCTATATCTCCTGACTTCCTTTGTTCTTAATGTCCTGTTCTTACATATTGTTCACTGGTATAGTACACTTCAACTTATAAGATATTTATTGTAGATCAACTATATAAAGTTCAGATATCAGCTTGTATTCGAATAACAGATGCTCTAAAAACTGGTCCTACAGAAGTTCTGTACACTATATTGCACATTCTCCTTATCGATCCGCATATAATTGCTATCGCCTCGCTGAATAGGCTTAACGCAGGTCACCGGAGGAGTCATCCCAACTTTAACATCATACAGTTGGACACTCCCTCGAGGCATATCAGGAAGGACCTTCGTGTATACGAAGGAGCATACGAAGATTTGTGCAGGATCCCTTGGATCGTAGCTCTTATACAGCAGTTTTGAACGACATTCATAGAGACGCCATCAATACAGCGGTTTGAAGTTACCGCATGAATGCCGCGTGATATGTGGTCATGCGAAGATTTTAAACTACTATCCTCAACCTTGAATAAAACCGCCGACTAACCTTTCACCCAGACTTTATCGACAGCCATTCGAAACTTCTTCTTAAACTTAATCCTAGCAACCAGATAAAGTAAAAATGATCTGTCAAGGCTGGGTCGCCTATCTGACATTACCCTATTTTGGACCCATGCGCCCAGAAACTACTATGAATATTAACTCCAATGCTGCTTCAGTAATAACTTCGATGGAATTTATTAATAGTAGTTTTTTTTCAAAAGGTTTAAAATATATCGAATAATGTGGACACATGTAGAGAAACGTACTAGGCAACTTATAACCCGAAATAAATGATATATATCGAGGTTACTAGCAGTAATAATGAGACACTGAGGGCTTGGTAGACATGAAAGTAAGCTTGAGACCGTTTCCAACGAATTTTGTCGCAATTGCAAGAACAGGTTTGATGAGAAAACTGTTTCCACCTTCTCTGCCAATGACCTTCCCTAGCTGTCAAGTGAAAAAGATTACTGTATCCAACTTGTCGAATTATCTCACTGCTATAGGCTAGATCTAATACAACATTAAATATGCAATACGATAAATATGGCGAGTGATGTGATCTTGTCAAAACAGAGTCCTAAATACCACGGAACCCAACTATGTGTTTAATGAACCTTAAAATATTTTTATTAATTTTAATATGTAAATTTAATTTATTATTTAGTACAAGTACATTAACTAGTTTGTTAAATCACATCTAATTTCTCATTATACTTTCGATGTAATTTTACATGTTTCCAATTCCATATTAATTTCGGTATTTTCGATTTGTTCCCCTTTATATTTTCCTTTTTAAGACAAATATCACAGTGATATTTATTTTTAATTTTTGAATCACTTTTCATATTTATGTGATAAATTACTTGAATAATTTTATCACTAGATCCCTCACTCCCTAGTTTATATTGATCAGACATCTTGGGAAAATCATATTCATGGAATGGGGTATTTTGTGGTTTTGGATTACTGCCAGCTTCGAGACGTTTGTGTTTAAATAAACAATTATTACAATGACGACAGCCGCCTTTGGTATTTATCACTTTTGCTTCTATTAGGGACTTAACAGAAGAATCATCTGAAGCATTTGTGACCGATAAAGAATTTCTCTTCCTCTTAATGTCGAACTTCTGCAAATTTGAATGTCCATTTGTCTCTGTCAGTGCTTAATCAAAGATATATAGAATTTTAATAAATATTCTACTAAAATCTTTTGTTTGAATTACCACAATCGAGTTCCAAATTTCCTCCCTTTTCTCTAATTGATTCAATCGCAAAATCATCCGAATCTTTTGAGTCCCTTACATTCGTTTGGCTACTTTTATTTCTCGTTGTTTTATCAGTTCTTTCTAATTCAGAATTTTCTACAAAAAAACATTTATTTTAAAATATAACCCGGTAAAAGTATCCCCAATTAAGTACCTAAAATTTTCTCAAGACTGTGAACTATTGTAAGTAAATTTTCAATATCTTGTTCAGCAAACTTAATACGTTCATTATTTTCCACCATATTATGCATTTTTCGATTATGTTTATACCCCCTGTTTGGAGAACTAGTAGCGTTTAAGAAATCCTTTTCTTCTGTTGTTAAATCGTCCGAAGAATCAAATGAAATATCAGGGTACAGTAATTGCTTTCTGTTTGACTTATGGTTAAATTTAGACAGATCTGGCTCAGTTATTTCTAATTTTGAGTTTTCTAGAGAAATAATTATTTTTAGAAGAATTCGGTTTAAAATCTCTTTAATTACCTAATATTTGTTGTAGATTACGAACTTTTCTTAATAAATGTTGAAGGTTCTTATTTGTAAGGGATTTCTTAGATGTTTTCTTTTTACTTGAGCAAGATGGTCGACAGTCTTAATTATCCGTATTATATTTAAGGCATATACATGATTCCATATCTATAAGCGGATAGCCCTTAACAGACTTGAGATCTTTAGCATTTATGGGAGTTTGTAAACAACAACCACAATGGATATTTTCTTCAAATTCACATGATCTATAAACATTATCCCAACAAATTGTATAATTATTGGCATGGTTATTATTTTCATTCTCCTTTTGTGGACCGATATCTAGAACCAAAATAAACATTGTTGTTCATTACTATTCTGTTTACTTATTTGTTATTCGGTCTACTTAATCGCAATACTGGTTTCAAGGCGGAAGTCCGAGCTATAAAGGCATGTGTAAACTGAATTAAAATAAATATTGCGCCAACGGGGGTTAACAACAGACATTTTTGATAGTCCACATAATAGTCAATATACAAGTCTAGAGTAAAGTCTGGTATATAGTCTAGTCTATAGTCTAGTCTATAGTCTAGTCTATAGTCTAGTCTATAGTCTAGTCTATAGTCTAGTCTATAGTCTAGTCTATAGTCTAGTCTATAGTCTAGTCTATAGTCTAGTCTATAGTCTAGTCTATAGTCTAGTCTATAGTCTAGTCTATAGTCTAGTCTATAGTCTAGTCTATAGTCTAGTCTATAGTCTAGTCTATAGTCTAGTCTATAGTCTAGTCTATAGTCTAGTCTATAGTCTAGTCTATAGTCTAGTCTATAGTCTAGTCTATAGTCTAGTCTATAGTCTAGTCTATAGTCTAGTATAGTCTAGTCTATAGTCTAGTCTATAGTCTAGTCTATAGTCTAGTCTCTAGTCTATAGTCTAGTCTATAGTCTAGTCTATAGTCTAGTCTATAGTCTAGTCTATAGTCTAGTCTATAGTCTAGTCTATAGTCTAGTCTATAGTCTAGTCTATAGTCTAGTCTATAGTCTAGTCTATAGTCTAGTCTATAGTCTAGTCTATAGTCTAGTCTATAGTCTAGTCTATAGTCTAGTCTATAGTCTAGTCTATAGTCTAGTCTATAGTCTAGTCTATAGTCTAGACTATAGTCTAGTCTATAGTCTAGTCTATAGTCTAGTCTATAGTCTAGTCTATAGTCTAGTCTATAGTCTAGTCTATAGTCTAGTCTATAGTCTAGTCTATAGTCTAGTCTAGTCTATAGTCTAGTCTATAGTCTAGTCTATAGTCTAGTCTATAGTCTAGTCTATAGTCTAGTCTATAGTCTAGTCTATAGTCTAGTCTATAGTCTAGTCTATAGTCTAGTCTATAGTCTAGTCTATAGTCTAGTCTATAGTCTAGTCTATAGTCTAGTCTATAGTCTAGTCTAGTCTAGCCTATAGTCTAGTCTATAATCTAGTCTATAGTCTATATAGTCTAGTCTATAGTCTAGTCTATAGTCTAGTCTATAGTCTAGTCTATAGTCTAGTCTATAGTCTAGTCTATAGTCTAGTCTATAGTCTAGTCTATAGTCTAGTCTATAGTCTAGTCTATAGTCTAGTCTATAGTCTAGTCTATAGTCTAGTCTATAGTCTAGTCTATAGTCTAGTCTATAGTCTAGTCTATAGTCTAGTCTATAGTCTAGTCTATAGTCTAGTCTATAGTCTAGTCTATAGTCTAGTCTATAGTCTAGTCTATAGTCTAGTCTATAGTCTAGTCTATAGTCTAGTCTATAGTCTAGTATAGTCTAGTCTATAGTCTAGTCTATAGTCTAGTCTATAGTCTAGTCTATAGTCTAGTCTATAGTCTAGTCTATAGTCTAGTCTATAGTCTAGTCTATAGTCTAGTCTATAGTCTAGTCTATAGTCTAGTCTATAGTCTAGTCTATAGTCTAGTCTATAGTCTAGTCTATAGTCTAGTCTATAGTCTAGTCTATAGTCTAGTCTATAGTCTAGTCTATAGTCTAGTCTATAGTCTAGTCTATAGTCTAGTCTATAGTCTAGTCTATAGTCTAGTCTATAGTCTAGTCTATAGTCTAGTCTAGTCTGTCTATAGTCTAGTCTATAGTCTAGTCTATAGTCTAGTCTATAGTCTAGTCTATAGTCTAGTCTATAGTCTAGTCTATAGTCTAGTCTATAGTCTAGTCTATAGTCTAGTCTATAGTCTAGTCTATAGTCTAGTCTATAGTCTAGGTCTATAGTTCTAGTCTATAGTCTAGTCTATAGTCTAGTCTATAGTCTAGTCTAGTCTAGTCTATAGTCTAGTATAGTCTAGTCTATAGTCTAGTCTATAGTCTAGTCTATAGTCTAGTCTATAGTCTAGTCTATAGTCTAGTCTATAGTCTAGTCTATAGTCTAGTCTATAGTCTAGTCTTAGTCTAGTTAAGTAGTCTATAGTCTAGTCTATAGTCTAGTCTATAGTCTAGTCATAGTCTAGTCTATAGTCTAGTCTATAGTCTAGTCTATAGTCTAGTCTATAGTCTAGTCTATAGTCTAGTCTATAGTCTAGTCTATAGTCTAGTCTATAGTCTAGTCTATAGTCTAGTCTATAGTCTAGTCTATAGTCTAGTCTATAGTCTAGTCTATAGTCTAGTCTATAGTCTAGTCTATAGTCTAGTCTATAGTCTAGTCTATAGTCTAGTCTATAGTCTAGTCTATAGTCTAGTCTATAGTCTAGTCTATAGTCTAGTCTATAGTCTAGTCTATAGTCTAGTCTATAGTCTAGTCTATAGTCTAGTCTATAGTCTAGTCTATAGTCTAGTCTATAGTCTAGTCTATAGTCTAGTCTATAGTCTAGTCTATAGTCTAGTCTATAGTCTAGTCTATAGTCTAGTCTATAGTCTAGTCTATAGTCTAGTCTATAGTCTAGTCTATAGTCTAGTCTAGTCTAATCTAGTCTATAGTCTAGTCTATAGTCTAGTCTATAGTCTAGTCTATAGTCTAGTCTATAGTCTAGTCTATAGTCTAGTCTAGTCTATAGTCTAGTCTATAGACTAGTCTATAGTCTAGTCTAGTCTATAGTCTAGTCTAGTCTATAGTCTAGTCTATAGTCTAGTCTATAGTCTAGTCTATAGTCTAGTCTAGTCTATAGTCTAGTCTATAGTCTAGTCTAGTCTATAGTCTAGTCTAGTCTATAGTCTAGTCTATAGTCTAGTCTATAGTCTAGTCTATAGTCTAGTCTATAGTCTAATCTATAGTCTAGTCTATAGTCTAGTCTATAGTCTAGTCTAGTCTATAGTCTAGTCTATAGACTAGTCTATAGTCTAGTCTAGTCTATAGTCTAGTCTAGTCTATAGTCTAGTCTATAGTCTAGTCTATAGTCTAGTCTATAGTCTAGTCTATAGTCTAGTCTATAGTCTAGTCTATAGTCTAGTCTATAGTCTAGTCTATAGTCTAGTCTATAGTCTAGTCTAGTCTATAGTCTAGTCTATAGACTAGTCTATAGTCTAGTCTAGTCTATAGTCTAGTCTATAGTCTAGTCTATAGTCTAGTCTATAGTCTAGTCTATAGTCTAGTCTATAGTCTAGTCTATAGTCTAATCTATAGTCTAGTCTATAGTCTAGTCTATAGTCTAGTCTATAGTCTAGTCTATAGTCTAGTCTATAGTCTAGTCTATAGTCTAGTCTATAGTCTAGTCTATAGTCTAGTCTATAGTCTAGTCTATAGTCTAGTCTATAGTCTAGTCTATAGTCTAGTCTATAGTCTAGTCTATAGTCTAGTCTATAGTCTAGTCTATAGTCTAGTCTATAGTCTAGTCTATAGTCTAGTCTATAGTCTAGTCTATAGTCTAGTCTATAGTCTGGTCTATAGTCTAGTCTATAGTCTAGTCTATAGTCTAGTCTGTAGTCTAGTCTATAGTCTAGTCTATAGTCTAGTCTATAGTCTAGTCTATAGTCTAGTCTATAGTCTAGTCTATAGTCTAGTCTATAGTCTAGTCTATAGTCTAGTCTATAGTCTAGTCTATAGTCTAGTCTATAGTCTAGTCTATAGTCTAGTCTATAGTCTAGTCTATAGTCTAGTCTATAGTCTAGTCTATAGTCTAGTCTATAGTCTAGTCTAGTCTAGTCTATAGTCTAGTCTATAGTCTAGTCTATAGTCTAGTCTATAGTCTTGTCTATAAACTAGTCTATAGTCTAGTCTATAGTCTAGTCTATAGTCTAGTCTATAGTCTAGTCTAGTCTATAGTCTAGTCTATAGTCTAGTCTATAGTCTAGTCTATAGTCTAGTCTATAGTCTAGTCTATAGTCTAGTCTATAGTCTAGTCTATAGTCTAGTCTATAGTCTAGTCTATAGTCTAGTCTATAGTCTAGTCTATAGTCTAGTCTATAGTCTAGTCTATAGTCTAGTCTATAGTCTAGTCTATAGTCTAGTCTATAGTCTAGTCTATAGTCTAGTCTATAGTCTAGTCTATAGTCTAGTCTATAGTCTAGTCTATAGTCTAGTCTATAGTCTAGTCTATAGTCTAGTCTATAGTCTAGTCTATAGTCTAGTCTATAGTCTAGTCTATAGTCTAGTCTATAGTCTAGTCTATAGTCTAGTCTATAGTCTAGTCTATAGTCTAGTCTATAGTCTAGTCTATAGTCTAGTCTATAGTCTAGTCTATAGTCTAGTCTATAGTCTAGTCTATAGTCTAGTCTATAGTCTAGTCTATAGTCTAGTCTATAGTCTAGTCTATAGTCTAGTCTATAGTCTAGTCTATAGTCTAGTCTATAGTCTAGTCTATAGTCTAGTCTATAGTCTAGTCTATAGTCTAGTCTATAGTCTAGTCTATAGTCTAGTCTATAGTCTAGTCTATAGTCTAGTCTATAGTCTAGTCTATAGTCTAGTCTATAGTCTAGTCTATAGTCTAGTCTATAGTCTAGTCTATAGTCTAGTCTATAGTCTAGTCTATAGTCTAGTCTATAGTCTAGTCTATAGTCTAGTCTATAGTCTAGTCTATAGTTAGTCTATAGTCTAGTCTATAGTCTAGTCTATAGTCTAGTCTATAGTCTAGTCTATAGTCTAGTCTATAGTCTAGTCTATAGTCTAGTCTATAGTCTAGTCTATAGTCTAGTCTATAGTCTAGTCTATAGTCTATAGTCTAGTCTAGTCTAGTCTAGTCTATAGTCTAGTCTATAGTCTAGTCTATAGTCTAGTCTATAGTCTAGTCTATAGTCTAGTCTATAGTCTAGTCTATAGTCTAGTCTATAGTCTAGTCTATAGTCTAGTCTATAGTCTAGTCTATAGTCTAGTCTATAGTCTAGTCTATAGTCTAGTCTATAGTCTAGTCTATAGTCTAGTCTATAGTCTAGTCTATAGTCTAGTCTATAGTCTAGTCTATAGTCTAGTCTATAGTCTAGTCTATAGTCTAGTCTATAGTCTAGTCTATAGTCTAGTCTATAGTCTAGTCTATAGTCTAGTCTATAGTCTAGTCTATAGTCTAGTCTATAGTCTAGTCTATAGTCTAGTCTATAGTCTAGTCTATAGTCTAGTCTATAGTCTAGTCTATAGTCTAGTCTATAGTCTAGTCTATAGTCTAGTCTATAGTCTAGTCTATAGTCTAGTCTATAGTCTAGTCTATAGTCTAGTCTATAGTCTAGTCTATAGTCTAGTCTATAGTATAGACTATAGTCTAGTCTATAGTCTAGTCTATAGTCTAGTCTATAGCCTAGTCTATAGTCTAGTTTATAGTCTAGTTTATAGTCTAGTCTATAGTCTAGTCTATAGTCTAATCTATAGTCTGTTCTATATACTTCGAACAATAATACCTTTAATATCACTATATAAGGTTTTTGTTTTTACCCAACAAACATTTCCATGAAATGAAGCGCACAACAGGACCGATAGTGGCCTGTGTATTTTCTTTGGATTTGATACTATCAATCTAACCTGACCTAACTTAAATTAGTATAAACTTCTTTTCATAATGCAAATAGATACTTACAATTTTTAAAATTTAATTTTTCTGGATCAAAATCGACACTCTCATTTTCCGCAAATAACTCTGCTAAGCTTTCAGTGCTAGTACTTTTATCGGCCTTATAACTCTGGTTAACATTTCTGGAATCAGATACTCGCCTGTTATGAACCTCTAGCTCTTTATCATTTATTATTATATCATTTTCAATTTTATTCTCTTCATCTGATTTCTTATTCTCTTCCAAATCCGATGTATCAGAATCACTTTCTGAACTTGTTTGCTTATTTCTAAATGGCGAAGGAAATGGAAATTTTCCAACCTTTTCCAATAGATATCTAAGTTTTTGTATGCCTTCTTCATTGTATTGATAAAATTCCATCTTCTTTAAACGTTGTAACCAATCATATAAATTGGAAAACTTTTCATAGTCAATGGGAAATACAAGATTTAGAGCTGCAACAGTGGAGACTATGGAAATATCAGCAATAGTCAGCTAATGATTAATAAGAGTTTAAACATTTTAAAACTCACTTAAATGAAATGTGTTATAAATTGACTATTAAAAACTCACTCGATTTACCACCATAAAGGACTGACCTTTTAAAAATGTATTCAGGGTCTTATAGATATTTGACACCTTGGCTCTATGATAATCCTTATCAAAGTTGGGATATTTGGCTAAAAAGATATCGGTCTACGAAAGACATACAAATACTAAAATTTTTTCAAGATAAAATTTCAATTTCTTACCAGTAAATATCCCAGCGATTTATATAGAATACAGCCCTCATAAAATAACAGACTCATTATGCGTAACCTTGATATATATATTTGGGACATAAATTTGTCAATGTAAAGGAGCATATTTTTCACACAAATAAATCAAAATTGAGTGACTATTACATAAGGTAATGTTCTCATCCACAAGAGTTGGTAACATACAAAAGGAGTTTAACTGAAATTTTTTAAAAGATTTACCATATTTAAAGCAGTGTTATAAATCTTTTAAATATAAACCGCTATCATACCCATGTATAGGTTTCATAGAAATTTACATCTTTTATAGAATCTGTAGACCGAAGTTCTACATCAATTTTAGCATTTTTATAAGCATATGACAACTGCGAGCTTGAGAACTTAGGGCATCGTAATACAATATTGGAACTCCCGTAGAAAGATATTGTTGATCCATAATTCTGGGAACTACAGGCTTTTCACTGAAATTTATGATATTTTGTATACATTTAATTGTAAAAAAATTTATATTTTAAAACGGAAATATTATAATTTGTTATTTCAATTCTGCTTGAAATTTTGAAACAATTTTGGTATTAAACAATAAACACTGATCGACAATATTTATATTTTCCTCTGTGAAACATGAACAAAATCATTAGGGAAAAACCATAATGGAATATTACGATTTTAATTAAACAGGGGTTTGCTCAATTTTGGTGTGATACTCATAAAAATTTCAAAAGAGATAATGATCATACAAAATATGTTTAAGTCAAAATTTCTAGGGTCCTCCCGTTCGGACGGACATTTCTAAATCTTCCAGAATCTATACTATTATAGGTCTTGGAACAATATTTTGCTAAGTTGCTCAAAAGACCCTTAAAATCTGACCTGAGAACACGATGTTATGGACGGATGCGGATTCTTCAACACAATTGCGACTCTAACTTCTTCCCAGTGGTGATCCTAGGTAGTGAATATGGAGTGAATACCGAAGGTAAATGTATTAATTTCAATAACTGTAGAAAGTAGAATATTGTTATCCACCACCTGAAAGATCCAAGCGGAACCGATCTCAGACAGAGACTGGTGAACCGTCCAAGAGGAGGAAGGTTGCAGATATCAAAACCACTTCAGGGCCTGCTGCATCCGCAGTCATATCAGCCAGGAGACCATTCAACGACGTTGTGAAGGACCACCTCCTGATGGCACTGGTGAACGACAAAGATGGGGTCATGAATCCTGTAGTAACAGAATGGGGTGCTGTGGAATCTAAACTGACTGAGTTGGTAATGGAACACATCCTAGCCAGTGAAGACAACACGGCACCTCGTTTTGACTCCGGTGAGATACATCGGGTATACAGGGTGATCAAATGTATGGACGCGTTCTCAACGGACTTTCTCAGATGAGACCTCGAGCGCGCATCTGGTTACCAAAAATGACCACTGAAACAAACAAAATATTAGAATGCCAGAAGCGTCAGAATCCCAATATCCACATGAACGACTGGTCCATTATTCGCGCTGAACAAGGCGACGGCCACGACGTGCCTCATCCTGGCTATCACAGAATCGGGCTCTACTGAGCTCGAGAAAGCAGGATACAGGCTCTTCTTCGGGGTCAGGGACGCTAAAGTGAAGGTGTTCCGTCCGGAAAAATCTGGGGGGCGGCAATGCAGATGAAGTCGAAGTTACAAACTCTCTGCTCACCGAGATAAAGCTCTCAGAACCCCCTCCTAATCCTGACAATGGCACTAAAAGTAGTGCATACTAATCTGAAGCACTCAATAACCTACGGATACATTATTCGAAACTGGCTGTATGAGATTCTCTAGCCAATATTTTTAATTCAGTCCTCGTTGCGTAGAAGGATTTTGCATTGTCAGGTTAACTTCCTTGAGATTAACTTTACAGCAAGAACTATCGCTCATTAATACCGAATTATTCGCGAGTGGCGTTCTACCCATTTGAAGCAAAGCTAAATTCAGGAAAAGTATTGGTTAATGCTCTTTTTATATATGACTGATTTCAGTCTTCGCCGGGTTAACATTTGGCCCTCTCGCTTAATCCCAGCTGAAGGGTGTGTTCAGGGCCTTATCGATGCTTCTGGATAAGCAATTTAACTCGTCTGCATAACTTATAGATCTAAGTCTATACTCGGGTAGAGAGCTCAGAAGTGTATTAATAGTTTTTAAACCAAAATATATAGGGATAAAATGTCACCCCTGTGGTTAACGCGAAATATAATTTTCGTGATAGTTAAGACAGTTTTCCTGATATTTAAACTATCCCAGCAGTTCGACAAAGTGTCAATGCATAATGACAGTCAATTTCACTAACGTTTAACCACCTGATTAACCCCTAATTCTCCTTACATCACGAATATACTCTTTGTAAACAAGAGTGAAAACAATCGTCTTATTTGGTAAGCTAAAGCGGAGACAGTCGTCACCTTACTGCCACAAAGTAATACAGAGAGTAGACACTTACAAAACGTAAGGGAATAGGTATTGACTAATCACTGACTGTCTTCTTGTAATCTATAGAGTGAGAATTGTCTTACTAGCTAGTCACCTAGGTAGCTGGATAGGGCGACTCTTTAAATAGCTAGTTACGGACAGTCCCCCTGGGATAACGATCAAATTTAATGCCTTTATATAGAACTCCACACAAAGTATAACTATCCCATCATCTAAATAAACCAATATTAAAATTCGTAAACATTAAGCATTCATAATTTATTTTTATTTATTCTCCTCTCCATTCCCCTTCTCCCTAATAGGAAATTTAAATTTTCCATACTCTTCTATTATCACCTTAATTCTTGCAAACCTTTTTGATTAATTTCATATTCAGGCAGCGATTTCATTACACTCAACCACATTGTCAACGAGGGCCATTGTGCACCAGTAATGGGAAACATGAGATCAACTGTACTCAATGTGGTGGCAGCAGAAATATCAGCTATTGTCAACTAATAAATGAAACATGATAAAGTATATTTTCATTTTTTGTTATATTTGTGGTTTTGTTTGCATAAAAAGGGAGAATAAATTTAATTAAAGATTCATTTTATTTTCAATTTTTTATTGTTTGATAAAATACTTACATAATCGGTAGCCAAATATTTATGTTTTTTCAAATGTACTTCACACATATCATAGATTTCGTGCATTTTACGTTGGTGATATGGTATGTCGACATTGGCATATGTTTTGCGAACAATTTCAGACTGAAAGGGAGAAGGGAAAACTTTTATTAATCATATTAACATTTTTCATTAAGAGTAATATATTTCGTTGTTGACATTTCATCAAGTGAAGTAGGCTTCGCAATTTATTCTCAGTTTAATCATGTATATTCGGAATGATTTTCGCTAAATTCCTATTTATGGAAACATATTTTTTATACAAATCTCATCCAAAGCGCTATAGAACATAAAACCGTGAAAAAATCTGAAATTTTTGTTAAAAACTCACCATCATTTCACTATCACGACGAAATATCAAAGATGCCTCAAATAAAAGCATATTAGTTACTTGCATCCTTTCCTTATACTGACGAGGCCATAAATTCAAATCGCTCTTTTGATATTTTTCGCATAAATGCATTAGAATTACATGAGAGTCAGTCAAAACTAAATCATCATCGACAAGAGTGGGCACAGTATGGGCAGGATTTAGCTGTAAGAAAACAGTTTAAATCAATCTTATTAGGCATCATCAGTTATAAACAATTACCTCTTTAAAAGTCGGCTTCAATTGTTCACCCTTAAATAAATCGATAAATTTTAAATCCACTTCAATATTAAGAACTTTTAATAACATTAAAACACTGCGCACTGGAGGACTGCGTTGATCGTAATATAAAACTGGTTTCATTATACCGCCGTACACAATTTGAAGACGTGTTTACAATATCAAAACCAAAATAAAACTGATCTAGCTAACAGAATCTTTAAAGTAAATATATTACAGTCGTAATCCAGTGTTACCAGATGAAAGGATTTTTCATTGTTATGGTTTTTTTTATACAGAAACATAGTTTAGTGAGTAGTTAGTTAGTTAGTAGTTAGTTAGTTAGTTAGTTAGTTAGTTAGTAGTTAGTTAGTAGTAGTTAGAGTTAGTAGTTAGTAGTAGTTAGTAGTTAGTTAGTTAGTAGTTAGTTAGTTAGTAGTAGTTAGTTAGTTAGTAGTTAGTTAGTTAGTTAGTTAGTAGTTAGTTAGTTAGTTAGTTAGTTAGTAGTAGTTAGTTAGTTTAGTTAGTTAGTTAGTTAGTTAGTTAGTAGTTAGTTAGTAGTTAGTTAGTTAGTTAGTTAGTTAGTTAGTTAGTAGTTAGTTAGTTAGTTAGTTAGTTAGTAGTTAGTTAGGAGTTAGTTAGTAGTTAGTTAGTTAGTTAGTTAGTTAGTTAGTAGTTAGTTAGTTAGTTAGTTAGTTAGTTAGTAGTTAGTTAGTTAGTTAGTTAGTTAGTAGTTAGTTAGTTAGTTAGTTAGTGTTAGTAGTTCGTTAGTTAGTTAGTTAGTTAGTTAGTTAGTTAGTTAGTTAGTTAGTAGTAGTTAGTTAGTTAGTTAAGTAGTTAGTTAGGTAGTTAGTTAGTTAGTTAGTTAGTTAGTTAGTTAGTTAGTAGTTAGTTAGTAGTTAGTTAGTTAGTTAGTAGTAGTTAGTTAGTTAGTTAGTTAGTTAGTTAGTTAGTTAGTTAGTAGTTAGTTAGTAGTTAGTTAGTTAGTAGTTAGTTAGTTAGTTAGTAGTTAGTAGTAGTTAGTTAGTTAGTGTTAGTTAGTTAGTAGTTAGTTAGTAGTTAGTAGTTAGTAGTTAGTTAGTTAGGTAGTTAGTTAGTTAGTAGTTAGTTAGTTA